AGCACAGGCTCTGGACGCGCAGGCTCAGCGGCCATGGCTCACGGGCCCAGCCGCTCCGCGGCATGTGGGATCCTCCCAGACCAGGGCAGGAACCCGCGTCCCCTGCATCGGCAGGCGGACTCTCAACCACTGCATCACCAGGGAAGCCGACTCCTGATTCTTAAATCCTTCTATTGCTCCCTATCACCTACCAAATGAAGACCAGCTTCTTAGCATGACAGAAGGTCCCCTATGATCAGGCTTCCACCTGCCTCTCAGCCTCATATCTCATTAAGGTCCTTGTAGCACACAGCACTCCAATTATAACTAGTTACAGCATAACTGTTCTGGGTTTCTGCTATTTTCAACCTCTGCTCTACGTCAGAAATATCTTTCCTCCAAACCAGCGCAACCTCACATCTGACCCTTGTTTGCTTGGCAAATTCCTACCCATCTTTCCAGGCTCACTTACCTCCTCCACAGGGCCGTTTTTCATCCTCCCCACTAGACTTAGGGCCCCCTTTTTCTCTCATAGCACCAAATCACTTCACTGCAAATGTTAGTTTACATATCTGGCTCATCCTTAGCCAATTAAATTTTATTTTTTTAATCTGTAATTTCACATCAGCTGACATTTCACCTGGCACATAGTTTAAGCTCAGTAAGTGTGGAATGAAAACTGTTGGCAAAGCAAGTCATCGTTGAATCAAGATTCAGAGAGACCAATAGAATCACGTTACGTAGGACTGTAGAGAAGTGCACTAAGAATCAAGCTAGTTTGTGATTTAATTTTCCAAATTTAAATAATGCATACATAATCCACTTAGTTCTGTTCTTTTCCTGCACTTTTCTCTCACGCAGTCTATCTTCTAATACCTTACTCCAACTCTGATTCATCTGTTGGCTTTTATCTTTCTTTTCCTCTGGCAGCCCCATTAAGTCCTCTTCTCCAATGAGTCAAAAGTTCCACTGCATTCAACTCCTGGATAAGCCTATCCTCTGAACCTCTGAAGTCTCACTGTAGACCCTTCCTGAAACATCAGGATCTAGGTCTGCTAATCTAGCAACCATCAAATCTCATATATGTGTGTGTGTGTGTGTAATTTATTTTCCTTTAACTTATCTTCATCCATCGTATCCTCACAATAGAGACAGGCAGGTCCCTTTTTATTACTATCATTTTACAAGTGAAAAGTAGATACCCAGAAACCCAGAGGATATTGATCCTTTATAAGTTCCCCCATAAACAGTTTGAAGAAAATTAATTCTGTACTTTCTGATATCCAGTCCTCATTTTTTTTTTTTTTTTTTTTTTTTGCTTAAACACCATTTATCAAAGTCACATCCTATTGTTGTCCTTCAACTGCTGGCACATTGACTGTACTTTTATTGCTGTCTCCCCTTCCTGCTTGTGTTTGTATGCCCACCCTGCTGACTGTATCCCCAGCTGAGCATTCCAAAGTAATCATTTTTCTCCCCTTTTCAGCTCCATAATCCAATGACATTGACAAAGGAAGCTGTATTATATTTGGACTGGAGTTTCACCCCAGAGTCCAATCCTCTGCAAAGAAGCTAAGGGAAACTTTACCCACATCCCGGCTGTCTTTTGGAAGGGCCTCTTTTCTGAACTCAGGCAATCATATCTAGATTCCTCCCAGGCCAATTTTCTCTGCTTCTGGCCCTTCCCCTTTTGCTGCTTCCCGCCAAAACCAGGCAAGGAAAATGAGAGTCCCTGTAACTTAGTTAAACGTGATTACTTTTATAAAAATACTGATAAATGAGGACGAGACTAAAACTACTGGCAGCAATGAGGCTTAGAATCACCTGCGGATTTTCCCGTCAACATCCTCTCCTGTTATTAAGAGTTGGCTTTGGGCTTCCCTGGTGGCACAGTGGTTGAGAGTTCGCCTGCCGATGCGGGGGACACGGGTTCGTGCCCCGGTCCGGGATGATCCTACATGCCGCGGAGCGGCTCGGCCCGTGAGCCTTGGCTGTTGAGCCTGCGCCCAACGGGAGAGGCCACAACAGTGAGAGGCCCACATACCAGGGAAAAAAAAAAAAAAAAGAGTTGGCTTTAGTTTCCAGCCTCAGAACCCTCACTTTCACAGCTTTCACTGTCCTCCCCACCACGTGGTGCTGTACCTTACGTGGGGCATTGTAAGGGCATTCATGTCCTTTTCTGTTACTAAAGAGGGGAAAGGGATACACCGGCAGGAGTGGGCACCAGAGAGTTATTTTAACTATGTCTTAGCTCACAGGAGTTTGGCCCACATTTCCATAGCTGTATCTCAGAGGAAGCGCCCTCCCTACTGGTAAGCAGAAGCAGACCCTTTCCCTCTACACCCGAAAAACACCTGCCCTTCTCACATTCCTCTTAAAAACAGAGCAACAATGATCAACTCTGTTAATTAGCTTAGTGGGTTAGACCGGATACCCAGAAGCAGATTCAGCCCCTTGGCCCCTCCTATGTCCAAAGGAACCTCTAACTCTCCATCATCTTCCAACTGTTTGTCAGTCATAAGGAAGAATATAACTGGACCTGTGCATCACCTTTCTAAAAATACAGCTAGCCACACGCAGGTTCCAGAGCATCCTCCCATATATTTTATTTATTTCCATAAATTCAAAATTGAAACCTCAAGGAACTGAGTCGCATGCAATTTCTAAAGTCAGTACAATTAATTGAACACAGCCTTCCTGAACCTTCCACCATCTCCCTGCCTCTGGTTTCAAGATTTGTCTCAGGTGGCAGACTCTTACTCCATTCTGCCTGGGTATACAGGGGTAGAACATGTGCTCACCTAAAGCATCAGTCTAGCTATAGTGGCCAAGCATCACCCCCACTGGCCCTGACTTTCACCTGTTTCAAGTACAGTCTCCAATACTAAGAATTAATTTTACAAGAATCTTAAGACTTTTCACTTCAGGAAAAAAAAAATAGGTTTTGCATATTGGGACTGGGGGCTGGAGGCAAGGTTTTAAGGTTGTCCTGTTACTATTCAGTCTGAAAATGCCCAAGCAGCAGCTTTCTGTGGAAGAACGGACTATTCCCAGGTGATAGGAGAATACAGATTAAACAACTAATTATACTAATAAACTCTGAAATTAAACACAGCTGTTCATTGAGTTCTTGCCCTGATTTCTCCAATTATAACACTATTGTGTGCTCACACACATGCCTTTGATCTGATTCTCTTTCATTTCAGTCTGTCCTGGGACTGAGACCATGGGAGAGTAAGGTGAAATCCATGGATGATGGACGATATCTAAAACGCGGATATTCTATAATTCAAGCCTGGGTAAAATTAAAAAGTGACACAAAGGAACAAGGTCTGGTCTTGTTTCCCAGAGGGGCTATCAGCTAACCCATTTTTGCTATGTTAAATTAAAATGACCCATCACCCTGATTCTTAGCAATCTCCCTAAAAACCGTAACCACTCCTCATATCCTCCCCAACATAATCACTCAAAGTAGGTCAGAAATGTTGCTTCCTTCCCCTGATTTTCATTAAGAGGATGCACTTTCTGGAACACTAAAGGGAAAGATAAACACCCAATACAAGAACCAATGACACCCCTTGTAAATTTTTGGCATTGTTAAGTCCAGTTCCCCTAAAAGCAGGAAAAAAAAATCACATCACCTATAATTTATCTTTCTTGGCTATATATCAACAATAATCTCAAACTTTAAAATACACAGTAGCAATGCTTCAGCCAGGTGATGAACATCTCCCAAAAGGAGCATATTCCCTCTTTTCTAATTTCCTAGATCACCAACCCACCTCTTCCCTAAATACACACTTTTTTCTTCCTAATTCACATCCACGTTTTGCCAGAAGGATGCCAAGTGACACCACACACTGGCTTAGCAAGTCCCCAGGGCCTTATCTGGAAGCTGAGAGCAGGGGAAGAGGAGGAAGGGGTTCGTACACACTGGGGAGTGGAGGGAGGGGGAGGGGAGCGGGACGCCCTCGGCGGCCGTATCTGGCTCTCTGGAAAAGCTGTGAAGTGTGGGGTCTCCAAATCCCACTGGCGAAGCTTCCCCAGTCCCCTGCCCTTGCTGAAAGCTCTCCCTCGGCCCCAGGTCCTCAAGCCTGGCACTCCAAGACGGCGCCGCAAAGTCCTTCAGAGCCCTCAAAACACAGGAGCGCGAAACGCATCCCCCAAAAGCCAGCAAAGCCACACACCCTCTCTCGGCCAGCTTCCCGGGGCGGGCAACTTCATCCCTGGAAACAAACGAAAGGCACGGTCCTCCAAGGAAGGAAAGAGGCAGAGAGCAGTGAACGGGCACGACCCTCACCCCACATCTCCCGCGCCCTCCTCGCCCCTCCCCCTCAAACTCCAGGTGAAAGACCAGGTGCGGCTCACCTCCCGGCAAGGAGGAAGCGGGCGGCCGGAGGAGGAGGGCAGGTCCCCAGCCCAGGCCGCTTGACAGCCGGCGAGCGCCCAACAGCAGATCCAGGCGGGGCTCCAGGGAGGCGAGAGCCCGCAGCGGGGAGCCCCGGCCGGCCGCCCCCGGCCCCTCCCCCGCGTCGGCCCCGGGCGGAGGAGCAGCATCTCCGTCCCGCTGTGGTCGGCCCGCCGGCCGGCAAGAAGGCAGCCTCCCCGAGTGGGGCGCGCTCCGGCTCGCGGGCCGCTAGGGCTGCGCGCTCGGCTCGCCACTCGCTCGCCCCCTGCCCGGCTGCTCGCTGTCAGCTCTGCTGCGCTCGCGGCCCGGGCGGCCGGCGCCCGTGCTCCCGTCACGCCGGAGGGAGGGACCGTGGGGCGCGGGCGCGGCGCGGGGGCGGGACGCGGGGCGGGGATGCGGGAGCCTTGGAGTAGGTGGCGCGGGAGGGGCTGAGGCCCTGCCCAGCGGCTCCTGCGGGGCTGAGCGGCCCCCGGGGGAGGTGGGGGGGGGAAGCCTCATGACGCGACAGAGGCCGGGGTGCCCTCGTGGTGTCTCCCGTCCCCACTCCCCTTGGCCCACCAGGAGGGGTGCTCCGGGGGAGGGGGGGAAGCCAGAGTAAAATCCAGGACATCAGGACATTGTTTTCCGGCGGCGGGTGTTTAAAATCTTCCTACTTCCCGCGTCACACACAAACACACACGGATGCGCCCCAGGAGCATCCCTTCGTAAGGATCCAAGCTAGCTGACGTCAGGCCGAATTTTGGGGTGATTAGGATATGCATGAAATGGCGGGGAAGAAATGGGGAATGAAATTTAGATGCAGTTTGTGACTCCGTTTTCTCACCTATTTTATGAAAATAATTACAATACCTAACCCATAAGGTTATTATGAGGATTAAATAAGTTGATGCACGTAAAGTCCTTGAAGAATGCCTGTCAAGCAGTAGATGTGGTGCTTATTGAAAGCAGTAGTAACCAACCGTAATTACTGCTACTGTTGGTGTTACTTCATGGGGATAACATGTAAACTTGGGCAAGTTAGTCCTTTTGTTTCTGCAGGAAGCAGGTTCTCCATCCGTACAGTGACTGGGGTGGTCTTCATTTTTTCTTTCATTCAAAAATATACTGATCCGGGTGGTAGGCACCAAGTGGTAAGCAAGATGAACATTAAGCCTTCGTTAGTGTCAGGGATCTCAAGGGTCCCTTGGTCTACAATTCTGTGAATGGGTGAGTTATCCTGTTGTTCAAAAGGAGCACCCGAATTTAGGATAATTATGCACCTGGAGAAATCTACCTAGCAGATCTAGTATAAGTTGACTTGAATTTGTCTGTGGCACGGGCTCTAACGTCCTTTTATTTCTTTTAATTTATTTAGTTATTTATTTTTGGCTGCATTGGGTCTTCGTTGCTGTGAGCAGGCTTTCTCTAGTTGAGGCGAGCAGGGGCTACTCTTCCTTGCAGTGCGCGGACTTCTCACTGCTCTGGCTTCTCTTTGTTGCAGAGCGCGAGGTCTAGGCGCGCAGGCTTCAGTAGTTGTGGCTCGCGGGCTCTAGAGCGCAGGTTTAGTAGTTGTGGCGCACAGACTTAGTTGTTCCGCGCCAAGTGGGATCTTCCCGGACCAGGGCTCGAACCTGTGTCCCCTGCATTGGCAGGCGGATTCTTAACCACTGCAACACCAGGGAAGTCCCTCTAATGTCCTTTTAATAAACATTTCCACGTGAAATGTGAAAGTTCTTTTCTCTCTCTCCCTCTCTCCCCTGTCTTCTGTGTTCTGGTAACAGTAATGCGTGTTTACTGTAAACATTTTGGAAAATATTGAAGACTATCGGGAAGAATATAAAAATCACTTGGGATCCCACCACCCAGAGATGACACTATTAACGGTATTAGCATGTTGAGGAATTTCCTTCCTGGTGTTTGTGTGTGTACTGCAAAACGGGAATTATCATTTGCAACCTGCTTTTATTTTTTCCTTAACATTAATATTTTCTCAAGTCATTAACGTCTCTGACAGCACAACTTAAGTAACCATATAATATATTCTACTGTTTGGATTATTTGTAATTTACTTTTGGATATTAGGCACTGTTTCTCAAGTATTTGATGTTATTAATAATTCTAGAATGAATGCCCTAGTACATAATCTGTGCATACATCTTTTAATTTTCTATGATGCCTTTCAGAATTGAAATCATTGGATTACACAGCATGTGCATTTTTTAAGTTTTTGATGAATAATGCAAAACTTCCTTAAAAAATTTTTATGTCAGTTGTTACCAGCAGTTTATGAGTACTTATTTCACAGCATTCTAGATTATAATAATTCAGATATTTGCCATTTTGGAAGAAGAGAAAAATGCTAGTGTATTAATATTTTTTAAATGTATAGCATTTTTATAATTAGTAATGTTACTGAACTCAGGTTCAGCTGCTCGCTGCTCAAAATCCAGTACTGGAGAGGCAAGTGTTGGTAGAAAGAAAAGGTTGCTTTAATCAGAAGGCCAGCAATCTGGAGAGAAGGTGGACTCGTTTCCCAGAACCAACTCCCCAGGTTCTGCTCAGCCATGAGAGTTTTTAACGGGAAAAGAGGGAAAGAATCTCAGTGAATCACCGAGGCACGAGGTTAGATTCTTCATCATTCTCCACTGCGTGCAGACTGGCTGACTCCTCAGTATCTTTCTTCAGACATTATCTCGCCCATGTGATCTGCCTACAGGATTGCAAAGGGGGCTGCTGGGGGTAGAGAGCTGGTCATTCTTTAACTACTTAATTCTTCTTTCTTACTACTTTTAACCTAGGAAAAGAATCAGCAGGTTAGCCAAGGCACGGTGTGCATTCAGTAGAACATAAGTCAGGAGTAAAGTTAAATTGCCTAGTGATGTCATTTCTATAATTATGTTCTTTTAGGGTTAGAGAGGAACAGGAATGGACAAACAGGAAAGGGGCAAAAGAGCTGCTTTCAGTAACACTGAATAATTTTTCATATATATTTACTGGCTATATATTTCCTTCTCTTGTTAGTGTGTGTGAATTTTTCACTGGCACTCTATGACCATTTTTCTGTTGAATTTCAATCTTTTTATTGATTTGTAAGCCATCTTTGTAAGTTTTATATATTACACCTTTGCTTACCATATATGTCACAAATACTCTTCTCAGTTTGTAGTCTTCCTTTCTTTTTTTTTTTTGCGGTACACGGGCCTCTCACTGTTGTGGCCTCTCCCGTTGCGGAGTACAGGCTCCGGACGCACAGGCTCAGCGGCCATGGCTCACGGGCCTAGCCGCTCTGCGGCATGTGGGATCTTCCCGGACCGGGGCATGAACACGTGTCCCCTCCATCGGCAGGCGGACTCTCAACCACTGTGCCACCAGGGAAGCCCTCTTCCTTTTAATTTTGTTTCTGGTGACCTTTTCTGCAGAAGATTGTCATTTTTATGTACTCAACTATTTCCTTTTGTGATTTCATTTTATGCTTAGAGGTACAGTACTTCTGCAAGATCAAATAGATGCCTATATTTTCTTATTTTGTTATTACTTTCTTTATATGTTTTTATTATTTAATCCATCCAGAATTTGAGTCAAATTACATTATTATTTTTGTCATCTAAGTGAGACCTAACAACATGGCTAATGGATTGAAAACAATTTCTTTCCTTGTAAAAACAAAGGTCATCCCAGTCAACCTAGGTCAAATGACAATTACAGATTTTCCTAAATGGGACAACTTGCCACTGTCAATAAATGATTTTCTCATAGGATTCTCACCTAGAGAAAACATGTTGACCTTAAGTAATTAAAACCAGCATACAGATTGATAGAGAAAGGAAAATTCCAAGAAAATTTTGTGGTTCCTTTGTAGCTGTTTATTTTAGAATTTAACAGCAGATTATTCAAATGGTTTCTGATTACCTGACCAATAGCTTTATTCTTAAAAGTCTAATTTTATTAAGTACTTTAATAGAAAATTCCCAATGGAATTTTTTGGGGACAGGTTCAACTATGAAGGTTTAAAAAGTTAAAAGTCACTAGATGGTCAATTTTCCACTTTATTTTGTGCCATGTGTACCTGAAAATTGAACCAAACTTTGTTAACAATCAACAAAAGCCATAGCTATAGCCCAGTGATACTAAACACAGATTTATTTTCTTTTTTTAACTTTAAGAAGATTTTGGTCAAAATAACTCCAAATTTTTTTTTTTTTTTTTAAAGAAACTGCTTTTTATTTATTTATTTATTTTTGTTGTGTTGGGTCTTCGTTTCTGTGCGAGGGCTTTCTCTAGTTGCGGCGAGCGCAGGCCTTTCACTGTCACGGCCTCTCCCGTTGGGGAGCACAGGCTCCAGACACGCAGGCTCAGTAGTTGTGGCTCACGGGCCTAGTTGCTCCATGGCATGTGGGATCTTCCCAGACCAGGGCTCGAACCCGTGTTCCCTGCATCTCAACCACTGCGCCACCAGGGAAGCCCCAACCCCAACTTTTTAAAGATTGCTTAAGCACACGAAAGTTATAAAAAATAAAATCTGAATGAATCTAAGTAGCAATTTTTTTAAAGTCAATTTTAATCAGTCAAAATGAAAAAAAAAATAATGGAAAGTGTTTTCTGTATCTAATTAGCAGAAGATAATTTCGGCAAATGTATGTTGTGGGTTATACACTCAAGAGAACAGGTATTTCTGGAGAGCAATTTGACAATATGTATTAAGTGTCTTTAATATAGTTATTCTTAATTTAGTAATTTTTATTTCCAGGACTCTCATTTAAGAAACCGATTATGTAAGGAGCACAAAGTTTCTCTATAAGAATACTCACTGCTGTCTAATACTGTATGTTCAAAATGAAGTAATCTAAGTGCCCCAAAATAGGAGAATGGCTAAATGAATTATGCTACTTCACATGGTAGGATTATACAGACATTGAAAATCATGTTTCCCAGAGAATACGAAATGAACTGAGGAAATGGGATCATTTAATGTTAATGGAAATCTTAATAAACAGTATATTCCCAACGACAGTGTGTGTCAGGGGAAAGGAGGGGATATGGAAGGAATATGTCTAGAAGAAGATAAACCTGTTAGCAGTGATAATCTTTTAATGGTGGCATACAGACATTTTTTTCTTTCATTTTTACAGATGTTTTCAATTTCTCC